CTGAGGGCAGGGCATGGCTGGGAGCAGCGGGGAGTGGGCTCAGCGTGCGAGGCCCAGCATAGCAGAACCGGGGATGCCAAACAGCGGTGGTGGGTCCAGGCAGGGGCCACCTCCCAATCAGCCCCCAGGCGGGAGGAATGCCAAGCAGCAGGGAGGCTGCCCAAGGTGGCACTGGCGCACCCCGGGCCGGGGCCTTGCAGCCACAGGGGAGCTTCAGGCCCTGTGATGGAAACATTGTTTCATCCTCACAGCCTGACGGCACCTGTGTTCCCATGGAGATTGTGCTGATGGAGAAGGTGGGCTTCGGCTGCCGCAGAATCATCCAGCTCCTTGACTGGCTTGAGCTGCCTGACATCTTCGTGCTGGTGATGGAGCATCTGGGATCTCTTGCATGTCCTGCTGGAGCAAGAGTTCCTGAGCGAGGAGGCGGCGTGTTGGCTTTTCTGGCAGGTGCTGGAGGCCGTGTGGCACTGCACCGCCTGCAGCGTCCTGCACTGGGACATCAAGCCGGAGAACCTCCTCGTGAACCTGGAGACTGGCAAACTAAAGCTTATCGACTTCAGTCGTGGCACCTTCCTCCAGGAGCAGGCCTGCACACAGTTTGCAGGTGAGCCCAGAGCGCAGGCCCTGCTCCCAGTGCCAGGCACTGCACGGCCCCATTCCCTCCTGGGCCGCAGGGTGAGGCATTCAGCCGGCTGCCGGCTGCCCTGTGGCACAGGCAGGTGCTGTGCCCCAGGAGCCGGCTGCCAGCCCTGCCGACAGAAAGGGGCTGCAAAAGCCGGGCCCCGGCTCCTCGGCTTGGCAGGCCCACAAGGCCTTGGGCTGCTCCGCTGGCCTTGTCAGCCTTGCAGAATGGTTTCTAGGCTTTGGCCCATTGTCAGGGTGAGGCAGGCAGGCCTTGGGGGGAAGTTGTGGACACGGCTGCAGCCCCTGCCTCTGGCAGGAGGCTGGTGCCAGGCTCTGGAAGGCAGCAGCCTGCGCCTGAGCAGCGCTGCCCATCTCCCCATGGAACATGCACGTACTGCCCGCCTGAGTGGATCAGCCTTCACTGCTACCATGGCGATGGGGCGACTGTCTGGTCCCTGGGCGTGCTGCTGTTTGAGATGGTGTTTCTTGCCCTTTGAGAACGAGCGTGACATCGTGCTGGGGCAGCTCTTCTTCCCGCAGGAGGTCTCTCCAGGTTGGTATGCAGCCTGAAGAAGGCAGGCTTTGGCAGGTGGCACTGCGCAGCCCAGCCCGGCCCTCCCGCAGCTGCGCGAGACGTCCATGTGCCCTCAAGGGCCGGCTGCAGCAGGTGGCCCGTGGCAGGCTGGGTGTGGCACGCTTGGCTGAAGGAGGGGGTGATTGTCCTGCCAGGCCGCTCTCCCTCCAAGGGCAGCTCCGAGCACATGCAGCGTGGCCTGGCTTCTGCAGGCACTGGGAGCAGCTGGGCAGGAGCCTTCTGCAAGTGAGCGCTGCTTTCTGCCTTCTCTCCCTAGAATGCCAACATCTGATCCGCTGGTGTTTGTCCAAGCACCCCATGGATTGGCCAGTGCTGGAGCAGATCTTCTACCACCTTTGGGTGCTGGGCAGGCATTTCTGATGCCTTGCTGCAGCCTCTGCAGCCTCTGCAGCACCCAGTTCCCGTGTCCAACACAGGACTGAGGGCCCAGGAAATAAAACAACCCGAAACCCACTGCGGGCTGGCAAATCTGGTCCTTGTTAGCAACTTCAGCTAAGGGAACCTTTTGGCCAAAGGGGTTATCAGAGCACTTCAGTTCCCTTCAGCCTTGGTCAAGCTTTTGATTCCTTTCTTCCAGATTGTCCTTCAAAATCAGAGGGAGGTGGAGCCTGCACCAGTCCCCCCAAATTGGTGGGAGGCAGAGACTACTCCCAGGCCCCTCAAAACTGGAGGAGGAAGGAGACAATCCCTGGGCCCCCCGAACTGAAGGGAGATAAATACCCGACCCCTCAAAATAAGAGATGGATGGAGCCCACAGTGGCCCCGAAGTCAGAGGGGGAAGGGGAGACTGCAAGCCCCCCCAAAGAGGAGGGGAATTCCGCCTGTGCCAGCCCCACAAATTGCAAGGGGACAGAGAACACCCCTGGCCTGGCAAAGTGCAAAGAGCAGCCGGAGGCTGCCAGGATGGTGAAAACACTGGCACCCCCCAAATCAGAGGGGGACAAAAAGCCCACACAGGCTTCCCAGAAGCAGAAAGGGGGCAGCAAATATCCCCTATCCCCCTAAGTTGGAGGGGCACAGACACAACTCCCGCCCCCCCCATAGCGGAGGGGGACAGACATAAAAGGCCCCACAAAAAGAGCATGGGGAACCAAGAGCACTGCCGGCCCTGCAAAGGTAAGGAGGATTGAGAAACTCCCCATCTGTCTTTGTTTCTGCCGGCCCTGCAAAGGTAAGGAGGATTGAGAAACTCCCCATCTGTCTTTGTTTTGGAAGACAGGTGTCTGCTAGGGAGGGCAGGGGCCTCCCCTGGAATGAAAATATAGACCCCCTCCCTCGGAATTATTATAATTTTGAACGCAGGGGGCTCTCAGGCAGAGATCTGGGGATAGGAATAACAGTTCTTTACTAGTGTGTATAACGAGGCACACAGACAACAATAACTACAGCGTTAACAACAAAACAGAACCAGGGACCCTGTGGCAGCTTTCTCGGCTAGGATGGGAAAGGATGGAAAAGAGGTTTTGCTTCACAAACCGCCTCCAGCAGGCAGTCCTGGTGCTCCTGCAGGGCTCTGAGGAACACTCAGCTGGAACAGTAGGAATGAGCTGAGATCCCGGGTCAGTGGCTGAGGTGGATCAGCAGCTCCGTGGTGGTGCCTGGCACTGCTACACATCCTGGCAGGACAGGGGGTGTGAGGCCACCAATGAAGAGAGAAGAAGGAGAAGAAGAAGCAGCAGCTCTGTCTGGGTGATGGCAAATTCCCTTCTCTCCGCAGCAACAGCTCCCACCAAAGTGTCCTTCTCTGAAGCTGAAGAAGCTGCCAAACTGTGCCCACCCTCCCCTTTTCCTTTCTCCTTCCCCCCTTCCCCTTTTCCTTTCCCCTTCCCCCCTGGGCCCAGCCAAACTTTGTGTTTCTCAAGTACCACCTCTAGTCAGGTTTTCCCCACAACTGATGGGTAAAAATTCCACAGGTGAGCCAGAACTAAAAAGATACCTAACCCCCAACAGCTTCTCATCTCCATCTCTTTGCACTCCAAAAGCCAAGAGGAATTGATCTGTCACTTCAAAACAACTCAATCCCACTGAGAACAGCTCCATTTTACCCCAAAAGAGCTCAATCCCAACACAAAAGGGCTTGTTCCACCTCAGGAGATCTCAATCCCACACCAAAATGACTCGGTTCCACAGCCGCCAGGTGAGATGGAGTTGGAAGGTGTTCTGGTTTAGGGCAAATTTGGAAGAAAACCTCTCAGTGGGGTGCCTCTAACAAGCAAACTAAAGCAGCCCCTCCCCTGAATGTTTCATGAAAAATATTTTCTTGGAGAAAAGTGGAAAACGCAGTTTATTTAACAATCAAAGTATCCACAAGCATGAGAAAGATGAATAATATTAAAGAATGAATCCTCTGGTGTTTGAAGAGATGCCAAATCCAGAAAAGTCCTTTCCATGGGGTGTAGCTCAGCTCGCTCAGTCTCTTATCAGTTCCTCCGGCACTGGAAAGGGCCCAGGCCCAGGCCCCTGTGGGCCACAGCCATGAGCTCCCGGGGTTTGTCTGGGTTCTCAGTCCAGAGCAGCTTTGAACAGATCCAAGGAAAAAGGCAAAAAACACTCAGGGGAACTTCTGTGCCTCAGTTAGCTAAAAACTAACTAAACTAAACTAAAACCTAACTAAAAAGGAGACTGAACTGAAGTGTCTAGAAGCAAAGGAGAGCTCTGTCCCGCTGTCTGTCCCTGCTGCAGACAACACAGGCCGGGAAAGCGTGCGGGGCAGTGAGTGCCATTTCTGCAAACAAACCGCAGCTTCTTCTTTCCCTGCTTTGCTCTCAGAGCCAGTCATGAAGGTGCAGAACTTAATAGCCAGCAGAAACAGGACAGACACCTGGGGATCCAAGGATCACAAAGTCACCCCAGGCCAGAAGGAGATCGGGAGAAGTAGAATCCACATTTGGAGCGGTGGGATGGGGATTGTGTGGGGCTGGCTGGGTGGGCTGTATTTGATAGGAAATCAAACTTTCAGAGTTTCTGATTTCTGTCCCATTCATTTTCAGTCAGGTGCAGCTCCATTTGCAGAGTGCTGCTGTGGCACTCGAGACGGACACACGACACAGCGAGGTTTGCGCTGTAAGAGCAATCTTTATTGATCAGGAGTTGCTTTTCGATGGTTGACCCCAATGGGATGGAACCTTGGCGCCCCCCCGGCCACTGACCAATAGCTGCCCGCGTCTGCACTCCTCAGGGATTGGCCAGCGTCCCTTCTCTGCAGCCGAGTCCCTCCGCCTCTCCGTGCCCTCTCTCCCAAAGGTGTTTGATTTCCATTCTGTCACAAGAACAGCCTTATCAGCTTCAGGGCTTTGGGAGGCTTCAGGCCAGCTGTTCACCGGCATCTTTAGGGACCCAAAATCCCCCCAGATTCCCTGCAGAGACCCCAAAATTTCCACTTTAGGACCCCAAATTCACAAACATTCCCTTCAGAGATGCCAAAATTCCCAAAACTTTCCTGTAGTGAACCCAAACTTCCCATGTTTGGACCCAAAATTCTCTATAGAGACTCCAAAATTCCCAACATTTCTCTATGGAACCCCCCAAAAATGCCCTTTGAGTACAGCAAAATCTCAAAACTTCTCATGTTTGGACCCAAAATTCAAAGAAATTCCCTATGGAGACTCCAAAATTCCTAACATTTTCAGTACAGGCCCAAAAATTCCCATACAATGATTTCAAAATTCTCATTAAGGGCTCCAAAATTTCAAAAATTTCCTTAAGGGGACCTCAAAATTCCCAAGAGACCCCTAAATATCCTTTCAGGCCCTAAAAATACCTTATCAGAACCCCAAAATTCCATAAAAGGTCCCCACATTTCCAAGAATTCCCTGGACAGATCCTAAAATTCTCAAAAATTCTTTTCAAGGATTCCAAAATTCCCCTATAGAGATCCCTAGGGACCCTCAGAGTCCCCTGGGCCTGACAGGGGCTCTCCCAGACCCCTATGGAGCCCCTGTCTATCCCCTATAGATCACCTATAGATTACCTAGAGATCCCCTATAGACCCTGTGTGGATCCCCTAGATATCAGCTATTGATCCCCTATAGATCCCCAGAAGAGCCCCTGTAGATTCCCAAGAGACTCCCTACAGGTCCCTCATAGATTCCCTACAGATCCGCTATAGCTTGCTTAGAGATCCCTTAGATGTCCCATGTAGATCCCCTAGAAATCCCCTACAGATCCTTACAGATCCCCTGTAGGTCCCCAATAGATCCCCTATAGATCCTTTATAGCCCCACTGTAGGTCTCGGACATGCTGGAGCCGGGCCAGGGCATCGGGAGCAAAGATGGCAGTGCCCGGGCGAAGACCCTTCCAGGTATTCTGCACATGCGCTGGAGGGAAAGCGCCAGGAGATGGGCGAGGCTCAGAGGAAAACAAGAATGTGGCCAAGGAGAAGGCTGGATATGAATGGAAGGGGGCGTGGTTAAAGAAAGGGCGGGAACTGTGAGGGGAAGGGGCAGGGATAAGGAAAAGAAGAGAATTATGAGGGGAAAGGGTGTGGCCAAGCTGATGCACGGTCCTAAAAGGGCCCGGTTTGGCCTAAAATCACCCAAAAAGGCCTCAAATGCAGCTGAGATCTGCCAGGTTCGGTTTTAAATCAGCCAGAGGACCCTAAAATCCACAAAAAGGGATCTAAAAACAAATCCAAATTTTTGGCCCATCCAAATGGGCCAAAAATTGTCCAAAGGGGCTGAAAATCACCCTATAAAGTCTCGTTCCGAACTCAAATTACAAAAGGGCCTAAAATTACCCAAATGGGCCCAGAATCTCCAGGACCCAGATCGGGACCGAGACCAAGATCAGCACCAGAACTGGCACCAGCACCAAGATTGAGACCGGCACCGGAGCTGAGATCAGAGCCACTCCGGGACTGGCACCAGGACTTCCCTTACCAGTGCCTCTGTTGGTGTTGGATCAAGTGAGGGCTCTGTGAGAAGCTCTTCCCACACTGGGAACACTCGTGGGGCCTCTCCCCGCTGTGGATGCGCCGGTGCTTGACCAAGTTGCTCTTTTGCTTGAAGCCCTTGCTGCAGTCAGGGGAGGGGGAATCCCATGAAATTCCAGAAAAGCCCCACAACATTCTAGAAAAATTCCAGAAAAATACCACAAAATTCCCTAAAATTTCTGAAAATCCCACAAAATTCCAGTAAAAATACACAAAATTTTACAAAAATCCCACAAAATTCCACAAAAATCCCATGAAATTCCAGAAAAATTCCACAAAATTCTTTAAAAGCCCCATAAATTTCCAGAAGAAATCCCACAAAATTTTCCAAATCTCCTCAAAATCCTATAGAATTCCACAAAAATCCCATGAATTTCCACAAAAATCCCACAAAAATCCCACAAAGTTCTCCAAATCTTCTCAAAACCCTATGAAATTCCAGAAAAATCCCAAGAAATTCCCTAAATTTTCTCAAAATCCCACAGAATTCCAGAAAAAAAAAATCCACAAAAATCTCACAAAATTCCCCCAAAACCCCATGAAATTCCAGGAAAAAACCCACAAATTTCCCCAAATCTCCTCAAAATCCCACAGAATTTAAAAAAAAAACCCATAAAATTTCCCCAATCTCCTGAAAATCCCACAAAAATCCCACAAAATTCCAGAAACATCCTACAAAATCTCCTCTAATTCCCACAAAAATCCAGAAAAATCCCACAAAGTTCCGAAAATCTCCTCAAAATCCTACAAAATTCCACAAAAATCCCATGAAATTCACAAATTTTTCCCAAAATCCCACAGAATTCCAGAAAAAAATCCACAAAATACCACCAAAATCCCACAAAATTCCAGAAAAATCCACAAAATACCAGAAAAATCTGACAGAAATATTATAATTTCTTCAAAATCCCACAAAATTCCAGAAAAAATCCCACAAAATTCTCCAAATCTCCAAAACAATCCCACAAAATTCCACAATAATCCCATGAAATTCCTATTCTGAAATACGCAGGATTCTTAGTGCATTTCTGCAGTGCTGAGCCTCTTGAGAAGGTTCTCAGGCGGTGTGCAGGCTTCTTCGGGAAATTGGAGCCCCTATTTGGGCTCCAATTGCAGGAGATGGGTTTGGGAGTCAAGAGATGACTCAGTATGAGTTAGCTACTCGTTCCATTTTATTGCAGTTTCAGCTACATTTTTATAGTATTTTGGAAAGGTAACATGCGATCTGTATTTTATTATGATTGGATAATTGCTGTTTTTCACGTGTTAACTTCTACATTTCTATTGGTCCAGTTCATAACACCCGAGCTCTATAAGATACTTTTTAGCGGAACTTATAAAATGCATTAAGCAGTTATATGAGATACATTCTGCAGAATTCACATCCTGACAAACTTCACAAGATACATTTTACAGATTTCTCATCCTAAATTCTCATCCATTCTTCATTGTCTTATTAACACTTATTCTTCTTCATATATTTGTTACAATGTTGTGCCAAGGACTCATGCTAACTCAAAGTCAGGGTTGTGCAGGCCTTCCAAGGAGCCATGGCCTCGGAAAAGCAAGCCATTCTTCAACAGGGATTGGGAAGTTGGGAATGGGGAATTCCGGGAAATCAGGAATTGGGGAAGTTGGGAATGGGGAATGGGGATTTGGGAATTCAAGGGAAGATGGGAATTCAAGATCAGGGGATTGGGAATGTGGGATTGTGGGACAGGAGTTTTGGGGGGGAGGTGGAACCTCAGAATTTGGAGGGATTTTGGGGTTTTTGGGGTGGGAGCATGGAATTTGGGGGACCCCCAGTTTTTGGGGGTTCCTGGTCTTTAGGGATTTGGATCATTTGGGGGAGCAAGGTCTGGGTTTGGTAGGCTATGGAGGGATTTTTGGGAGGATTTGGGATAATTCTAGAGTCATTATTTTTATTTTTTGGAATTTTTGCCAAGATTTTGGGGGATTAGGGGTGATTTTGGAGTAATTTTTTTCTTTTTCAGTAATTTTGTGTGGTTTTGATAAGATTTAGGGAATTTTATGAATTTTTTTCTGAAATTTTGTGGGATTTTGAGAAAGTTTAAATAATTTTGTGGGATTTTTGTGGAATTTTCTGGGATTTTTCAGGAATTTCATGCGAGTTTTTTGGAATTTCATCGGATTCTAGTGTAATTTTGTGGGAATAATTCAAAGATTTGGGGAATTTTGTGGGGGTTTTCTAGAATTTTATGGTATTTTTCTGAAATTTTGTGAGAATTTGAGGAGATTTTGTGAGATTTTTGGAAAATTTTGTAGATTTTTTCTAGAATTTTATGGAATTTTAAGAAGATTTAGGGAATTTTGTGGGATTTTTCTGGAATTTAGTGGGATTTTTGTGAGATTTTGTGGGATTTAGATAAGATTTAGGAAATTTCACAGTATTTATCTGTAATTTTGTGGATTATTTTTGGGAATTTTGTAGGATTTGAGGAGATTTGGGAAATTTTGTGGCATATTTCAGAAATTGTGTGGGATTTTGAGGAGATTTAGAGAATTACAAAATTGTTTTCTGTAATTTTGTGGGATTTTTATGGGATCTTTGTGGAATTTTTTGATTTTTGTGGAGTTTTGTGAAATTTTAAGCATATTTTGGGAATTTTGTGGGATTTTTCTGGAATTTTGTGGGATTTTGAGGAAATATAAATAATTTTATAGGATTTTTTCTGGAATTTTGTGGGATTTTTCTGTAATTTTGTGGTATTTTTGTGGAATTTTGTGGATTTTCTGGAATTCTGTGGGATTTTGAGAACATTTAGGGAATTTTGTGAGATTTTTCTTGAATTTTGTGGGATTTTCCTGGAATTTCATAGCATTTCGAAGAGTTTTGGGGAAGCAGCCAGGGCAGATCCCACCAGAGACCCTCTCCTGATTTAATTCCCAATCCAGGAGCTACAGCAAGCATGGGTGAAGTTATGGGGGCTGGCAGGGAAATGTCACTGTAAGATCTTGCTGCACTTGGTTCTCAGCCCCTTCTCAAGAGCTTTGCCTTCAAGGGCAGGAACATCTTTTCCTTGCTGCCAACTGCAATTCCAGACTCTTGGAGTGTGTGCCATGCAGGACCACACAGACTGGGATTGCACAGACTGGGACCGTATGGATCAGCACCAGAGACTGGGATCACATGGACCGGGACCACATGGACCGGGATGGCTGCACCAGAATGATGGAACTGAGTTGGTCCCGCCCCTCCCAGGGCTCCCTCCCATTTCCCTCCCAGTTCCCTCCCAGCTACCTTCCCAGTCTCTCCCAGCTCTTCCCAGTCTTGCCCGGGGACGCGGCCAAAACTGCCTGGAGTGAATGCGGTGGTCCCGGAGAGATCCCAGAATCGTTTTTTTCCAGAATCCTGGAATCCCACAAAATCCTTTAATTTTTCTCAAAATCACACAAAATTCCAGAAAAATCCCACAAAATTCCCTAAATCTTCTCAAAACCCCACCAAATTCCACAATCATCCCAAAAATCTTCTCCAACTTCTACAAAATTCCAGAAATATCTAACAAAATTCCAGAAATATCCCACAAAATTCCAGAAAGAATCCACAAAATTCCAGAAATATCCCAGTAAATTCCACAAAAATCAAAAAAAATTCACAAAAATTCCACAAAATTCCAGAAAAATGCCACAAAATTCCCTAAATCTCCTCAAAATCCCAAAAGCATTGGGCCATTTGAGCGCTAGAAGAAGGCACATCGGTCATAGTTAGAAATGAGCTGGGGGAATGGGAACAAGGGTGAAAATTGGTTTTGACAGGACGCCGGTATGCAGCAGTCAGAAAAGAAGGTAGAGTCAAATGGTGTCCGCTTAAGTCTATTAAACCAGACCTCCAGAATAAAGCTAATGAAAACTGTAGGCTTCTTTCTACAGGAATGGATTTGTGGACGTCCTCGTAAACTGTAGGCCCTAGCAACAGAAGAGGGTGACAAGCCGGCAAATACCTTGAAGACATCGGAGACTTCCACGCCAGTAAAACCCAAACAATATCGATGTTTTTGCACCATTCTGCTTCTAGGGCTAGCTGCTGTAACGCAGGCTGAACCAGAACGCCATCCTTACCAACCCTTTTGATGGCTTCTTTGAGATCCAACAACAGGCAGAGTAATTAGAGATAGTACTGTAACAGGCATCCCCAGCTTCGATGTATGGCTTGGAGACATTTTTCCCGTGGAAATGAAACCTGGATCCAGATCATTGTGGGGAATGTACTGGTGCCCCAGCTCAAATCCCAGGAAAAGCTACTGTAATTACCCAGGATGCTGGTTTTGTGGGTACTGGAGATGTGAAAATATTGTGACATCTGGTAGGTGGGAGCCAGTTAAAAGTGATGTGTACTTACAAGTAACGTAGGCCCCAAATGGATGCTGATGTCCCACATTTGCATTGGAAAGAATGGTAGGCGAAAGAGG